CATACAAACTATTATTATTTTAATAAATTTCAATTGATTTAAACTCAAATTCATATCTTTTTAATGCTTTTTTCTTGTATTTGACATAAACTTCATCATATTGTCTACTACTAGAGCAATTTCATGTTAAGTGCATATAATAAGATACATGAGATGGCTAATTGGTTTTTCATTGAAAATTGATGACATTTTTCATTTTCAATAATATAAGACATTGAGCTGCAAAAAGTTTAAAATGTGTTATCAAAAGAATCAAATTCAAGTTAAGTCAACCATAACCAATCATCAACACGTTGAATGTACATACTTTGACTTTAATTTAATATTACTTTCTTCAAATTCTTATAAACATTCATTCCTAATATACTCTTAGACAAATTTCAAATGTTTCATCTTGAATCCAAATTTTATTTTATTTTAAGATTTGATAACATTGGATTGATTATTTGTCAAGATTAGAGCTCCAATAGGGTCCAGATTGAATTTGACCTCCTAACAAAATCCGACCCAAAAAAGCAGGTCGGATTCAAATCAATTCAGGTGGAAATCAAAATCGGGGTCGGCGGATTCATGATTGTGAGGGGACGGCAAGTGGAGGAACGCCAAGGAAGAATTGGAAAATTGGAGCTGCAAGTATATTCTTGACAAAGAAGCGATGCGAGAATAATTTGAGAAGTCATGATGAACAGCATAGGTAGCGCAACGCAGCCTAGCTAGGCGTAGAAGCAAGCGAGCAAAGGAGCAGATGCTTGCATTGTTTCGAACGAGGTGCGCAGTAGACAGGAGGAGCAGGAGGTGTAACATGCACAAGAGGAGGAGCAAAGTTTAGCGAGATGGAGCGGAAGTCAATGCAGAAGACGACGGATCATCTGGGCTTGCAACTGAGCTCTTATTGGTAGTTGCTGTATTAGTTTTTTTATTTTGGATCGGGTACAGCCCTCTATCCGAACTTGGATTTTCAGGTTTTACTTGAACTCCATCGGAGCTCTAGTCAAAATGATCATGTAAAATGAATGATAGAATTAAATATTTCATTATTCACCTTCTTCATACATATACAAGAATTGTACATACAGAAAAAAAATCCTTGAACTTTCATAAAATCATCAAATTTTTGCATTTGATTGTTTAAGAACTTGCTTCAATCCATGTAAATAATTTTTAATTATATACATATCAACTTATTTTGAACTTTTTTCACAAAGTATATTAGTTGTCTCATGTAGAATACCTCCTCTATAGATTCAAAGAAAAAATTTATAATTACATTCATTTAATCCATAATCAGATTAAAATTTACAATAAATGCAAATACTTATCTAGCTGCATGTGAAAAAACCATGTGATTGGATCTTTCTTCTATAACATCTCTAATCATCAACTTTTCTTTGAAGATTTTGTGTTACACTCAAGCTTCCACAAAGTTTACGTTTTTTTTATATCTAGATTGTATTACTTCAATGATTAATGTAATATCATCATCACACTTGATATCAATATCAATATCATGAATTTTTTTTAAAAATGAATAAGCACTTAATCCATACATTGTAAAAGTTTATTGATTTGATTTGATGATTTGAAATTAAAATTTTTTGATTTTCAGTTTCATGTCCATTAAAAATTCAATCTTCAACTATCTTCACCATCTATGAAGTAGCTTCATCATGTGTCTGATCATTAATTCATAATGATCAAGTTTTACTTCAATGATATTCAAAACTGGAAATTTGTTCATGTTAGTACATAGAGACAAATACATCTTCCATTCTTTGAATGATGTAAAACTCATCATCTCCAATACCTTCAATTTTTTAAGATTTTTTTTTAAAGAAAATTTTTTTAAAAACTTTATAATATAAAAAATGTGATAAAAATTTATTAAAATTTCATACGTCAACATTATTTTCTATGAATTGCATATGCAAATCACTCTAACATCATAATCCAATGTTTAACAACTCGATCTACTTTGATTTAAATTTTTGAATCATTTTGGCTAAAGTAAATCATAAGTTTTGATATTCGAATAATAGTTAGTGAAAAAAAAAGGAACACTCTTGCTTTCTTTTCAAAAATTTATGGTGTTTTTTAAAAAATATACTCCTAGATTTGAATATACCTCTAGATTCAAAACGCATATTATCTTGATTCTTTTGTAAATGTCAACAACCTCAAGTCACATTCAATGTCACATTGGATAATTAAGATGAGTAGTTGACGTCCTTTTCATATTTAAAATATTTAAAAATTAAAAATTATTTACATCTTGGTTGTAAACTATTATTTTTCTAAGACAATGAAGCAATGCACATGATAATGATATATTAGATGTAGATAATGAGTTTAGGACAAGAGATTTTCTTTTTATCAATTATTTGCATATCAAACTGCTAAAATTTAATGATCTTGAAATGCTTTAAATGATACTTAATTTTTGTATTAAAATCTTTCATTTTGAAGTTTATAAGATTAAAAAAACATATGACATGTGTGATATTTTTTTAAATCAAATTGTTGCTCAAGTGACTCAAAAAGCATTGTGCAATCATCATACATGTACACTTGTTTAGAATTAAAAGTTGCAAATGTTGTATAACAAAACTCACGATTTGTTCAAAAAAATCTTCTAATCATTATCAAAGATAGAGTTTTTATGCCTTAACATCTTGCCCACAATCATAGACTTGAACTTGATTTCAATTATATCTTTTAGAGAAAATAGTGATCGCACCTATTTTTTTTATACTTTATATTCAACTTTGTTAAGTTTCATAATAAATTTATTCAAAATTTTATGTAATTTTTGTGCATTGTCTCTGCAAAAATCTTAGTTCCCACTCATGAGACTAACCTTGTGAATTAATAAACAGAAGTTATCATTCATCCGCACAAAAATTTAACATCTTATTGTTTGAAGAAAAAAATTGATAAACTATTCTTGCCTTAATCTGAGGTTTGTCCTTAGAATCTAAAACTCTCTCTAGATCTACCATTTATTTATTAATAAGGTTGGTAGTTTATTTGTGGTGAAATTTTGTGTGATGTCTGATCTTTAACTTTGTGCAAATATGTGCACCTCGGATGCTAAGTGTGGAGTGCTAAGTTGTTGTTGTTGCTGATTTTAAATTTCATGAATCACTATCTGAACTTAAATCTATTCTAACGTGATCCCATGTCTTAGTTCTTTATGTTTATTTGACTCATGTTTATTCCTTGCCTCCTTGAGCATGAAAGAACTCCAAAGTGTCTTTGATTGTAATATATCAAAACTTATTACTGGCTAATATGACATCAATCTGGATCAATATGTATGTAGGAAAAAGATCTAGTTTTGATGAATGTAATACCATGTGAGTATTTGCTCTAGCCCATTTTGGTCACTTTTAAAAAATATCAACAAAATCTTTTGCGAGCTTTTTTATATAATAACAGTCTAACTAGTTTCACATCCTACGATTAAGCTAGTCTAAGTCAAATCAAAACCTGAGATAGCTATAAACCCAAACTAACATTTTGTAGCAAATGTGTATGAGCTTCAAACTAAAGAAATTATTTCAAACATCAAAGTTTAAATTTTCATCCCAAGCTTAAAACTTTATGCTTATGAATACAACTACCATAAAACAATTAACTTTCAAGTCAAGAGTATGTAGATTAAAAAATTATATGCTCATATTATTTTTTTAATGTTTATATTGCATAATAATAGAAATATTAATAAAAATAAATTTGAAATCAAACTTTTATTTGAAAATTATGTAAAACTTTGAAAATTTGTGCATAGTTTAGACTATTTGAAATATTATTTTATATCTGACATATTTTATAGCGTTTATGTCACAAGATATTTTGATATTAAATAAATCCATAAGGTACAAAAGTATTGAAGCTTATTCCATTATCGAAATATATCTATGATGATTATATATTAAAGTATGAATGCATGGATTCAAATTCTTGATATTTGGAAAATATCTCCTTAAAAATACTAATGAAATTTGATTTCTAATTCGTATTTGAAAATCTAAAAAAGTATAGAAATTCCAAATATATTTCATTTAAAAATTTTATAATTTATATTCTTTCATTATTGAGTGTAAAGATATTGAACTTTTTGCTGCATCATACTTCACATTAAATGATGTTAAAAATATTTACTCAACAAATTTAAGAAATTATCTTAAATATAAATCTGTCTTAAAAGTTATGTCTATTACATTAGGCGTTAAAACTAGTTAGATCGATTGTAATTAGTATAGCTAGTGAATGCTATAAGAAAGTTGGTAAAAACTCACTGCCACATGCTAAGATTTGCAATATAAAAACTTCCAAATTTCATCTACATGATGAAATGAGTCACATATTCTCAGTGTACACTCGCTTAAAATAAGTTGTCACTTTGTATATTCAAAAGAAATTTAGATAACATATTATTTTTTCTTAATTTAAAACAATATTTAGTTTTAATATACAAAAATTTCTCATTTCAGATTTTGAATAAAGAGGAGTTAATGTTAGATCTTAATGTTTAAATTTTTCGAGCTAGAGAAACAAAAGAAAATGAAGGAATACATAAATAGACATATTTCTAAAAGTGGCTGAGAAAGATAGTGCTCAAAATATTACCTGATATGTGATAGGATACATCACTTTTTGTAATTATGCGTCTATGCAATTGATCAACAGTAGATTGTACAATGCGTGATAGCACGATCTCAGTACGTGATCATTCTTTGAACGCTTTGAAATATAACATATTTATTTTGTACTTATATTGGGACTAGATCCATGTAACATCCATATTTCATTTGATGGGTTACTCCATCCTTATTCAACTTTTAATTTCTATATCTAAGGTTCCAAAACCAGCATGGACAATAATCTGAATTAAAAGCTGAATGTAATTTCAGAATTTTCACTACAATTCCGAATATTGTCTAGAATAAAAATGACAATCTTAGGGCTACGAACTTCGAATGCTGTAATCCTTTACCTCGTTTTAGTCCAGAACTGTGTCTATTCTCTCAAATCGATGTATTGACGATATCACATACCATACAATATACGATCAAGCAGACTTCAAGAGTTTGTAGACAGGGCAAGTAAGTACTGTACGTTGAGTGTAGTGACTTGTTGACGTCGGGTATTGATGAAGAAGCGGGAATTCTCAATGATTTGGGTCATTATCGGTCCAAATTCGAGTTCGTGGACGGTTGAATTCCTGCGTAATGGATCATCGTGAGTTTATTCGTTGGCATCGAGGGGTGCATGCGAATTTTTCTTTTCTGCGAAGAAATGGCCAAGACCAGTGTTTGCTTGTCGATTGAGATAAGGAATCGTGCTCTGGAGTGGACATGCAGTCGACCAGGATAATTGCTGATGCTGGCTGAGGGGATGTCGGAGACAATAATTCAGCCTGGTATAACTTCACTTTATTTGTCAAGTCAAAAGATGATGACGGAGAAGACAAGCTTGTTGCAGGCATTCTTGGAGCAGGAATGGCCAGAATGGAGAGATGATGACTTTGCCAGAGCGCGCTTCAAGGCTTTTACAGGACAGAAGCAGGACTGGGAAGAAAGAATCAATTTCTGGAGAGACGCGATTGTGAAAGTTGCTCGGCACTTGGATCTTCTCATCATCGACACAAAGGAGGTGACTTTTGTTGAAATATCCCCCGCGATACTGAGAAGACTGTCTTGGACGTTAGCTGCTTCACGGGGATTTTCTTCTGAGGGTAGAGTTTGATTTGTGATTTTTACCTCTTGCATTGTTGCGGCAAGTGGAGAGCCTAATCAGGATGAAATAATCAAATCTGTAGATTTGGAAATTCCTCCATCCAGCATATCTACTGGTTTCTGATATCTACTTCGTCACGACCGTTATGTTCCGTGCGCAGGTGCAGCAAAAGTGGTTCGTACGAGATGGAGTTGTGCCCATGGGCCTCAAACTTGTCCTGGTAAGACTTCATCGTCACTTAAGGTCTGCATAAGCGTGTTCGTCAGAAAAAAATCCCTATCATAGTTTGAAACATGATGTACCTTTTCTGTCCTTTCCAATCTAGTTACGATTAATATTGCTTATTCTCGTTGTCTCTGAAATTGATCAGTCGCATGCTCATATTCCACTGCTTCATAGCGCTGGCTTTGAAGATTCTCGGCATGTGCCTCGGGTGTCTGTAATGCAATCGTCATACGTCTGTGACACAGCTGGAGATGCAAAAGTCAGGTGAACTGGAAACCGTGGATCAGATCCTCGAAAATCGTCCTTCTACAACACTTGAGAAGCTTTCATCACTGTTGAGAAGAACTCTAGGATGGGCTGGCTTCATTGGTCCAAGTGACGAGTATATGGAGACAGAAGCTCAAATTGAAGAAAGACTCGTTGTCAGGTCTATTCTCCAGGTTTGATAACTTTCATTTACATACTCAAGGTGGGAAATGGCAATCAGTTCAAGTCTAAAACTCTGGACGAATGACGCTGAAGAAGAGATTCTGCCTGCAGGAAAGAGCTGCCTATTTAATCAAGAGTCTAGCAGAGAACAATTTTTCTTCTGTTTGCATTGCAACTCTGTCGAAAATCAAGAAGCTCTGTGGAGGAGCGGAGAATGCAGAGTTGACTATTGGTTATCTCCTCCTTCATAACAAAGCCAAGTATTTGGCAGTGAACAGTGACGATCATATAGAGGTAATCCCTTAGTCATTTGTACTCACGTATCTCATCTGAGCCGAAGTGAACTGTCTATGTTTTAGGAAATAACGGGCTTTGCAGCACATTGATTGAGAGTTTGAAACTGAAGTCGAGAGCATATTTATATCCATCAAGAAAATGGAAAAGGTATTTGCTTGCTATTTCGAGTTAATCGGTTCATCTGCAGTTCTATGTCTTTTGCAGGGCTTCAAGCTCTCGCTGAACGGGAAGGATGTGTCAGCAGTGTCAGAAAATGATCGACATTTTTTACAACTCCAATGGACCTTGGAACTACTGCAGATTCGCTTGAATACTCTAGATTTGAAAGTTGAAACGTAAGAATCAAGCTTCACATCCTGAAAGTGTCACTTATCGATGTTGGTAACTTAGATTGAGTGATGAGAATTGAATGATAAAGATATTGCTACATGTTCTGCTCATACAGGACGAGAACTGAGTTGATCAAAGTAGCAAAGGCGGGTGCAAGGCATGATGCTCTCAGACGTCTACGCAACATGAAGCTGCTGCAAGTCAGCAGGGACCAGTGTGCAGGGTTTATGGACAAAATCGAACAAGTTCTTGGGGTCATTGCAGATGCAGAAACTTCAAAGAAGGTAAACGGCAGCAGATGCCCAGGACGAAGAGACTTATTCTAGCAAACCTCATGACATGCAGTTTTTCCACTTTTGTTAGCAAGTCAAGAATTTATGCAGACCGAGGATCACGATTAATCTTCACCTTCAGAGTACATAAGTAAACCATATTGTCAGCAACCGACAAATCTGCGCATGGGCTATTGATTGTTCTGAACGTTTTTCCAGGTTACGGAAGCAATACAAGTGGGTGCAGCTGCCATTAAGGAAAACCACGTCAGCTTGGATGACGTCCATTCTTGTTTGGATGAGCTTGATGAGGCAATCACGGTTCAGCGTGAAATTGAAGATACAATAGGTACCAACTTACCCCGCACTTACTGCCTGTGTCCCACTACTTCTCTCATCAGGTTTCAGTATTCTTGTGAACTGTCTTGAATGTTTTTGCCCATGCACTCAATATTCAGGGGCTTGGGTCACTGTAGGTGCAACTCATCTTTCTAAACTTGACGAAGACGATAGCTTGTTTGAGGAAGAGCTTGCGACGTTGGAAAAGGAGTTACAGGAGCAAGAGATTACGAGCTTGCCAGAGGCCCCAAAAGCTCAGGAAGGAGTCAAAGTCTCTTCTGTTAAGAAATCTGACTCGGAATTTTCAGAAGCTGATCAAACACTGGAGAAGGAGTTTGCCAAGATGGCCTTAGAGCTGGCATGATCTGAGAGTTGCCACGAGAAGTCATCTTGGTAGATCGGAAGATCTCCTGTACAGCTCTTTGTGCTCAATGCTCATAGTAGGATTTAGTTCTGTTCATACTTTCCGCCATGTAGCCGAGGAATGGAAAGTTTGGAAGCTGAGTATGAGTGAGCTGAGCTGTGAGCTGGGAATCGCGAGTATAGGAAACGTGTGTGATAATGTGGAAATAGACCTGCAAAAGGAACCTGTAAATAATTAGTGGGGATCATTTGAAGTGAAGTCATGGCCTTGAAGCTTGAGAGTGAACATTCACTGGACTACACCGAGCCAGAACTCGACATATAGCAAACTGGGTATGCGACAAACGCGTTGACTCGCCTCTGTAAGTTCTTAGGCCTGTAAGTTATGTGAGAGGCAGAAACATTGTAATACTCACCGTGATTGTTGAAGTGTTCGGTGGATAGCATCTACGAGCCCTAAACTGGATTTACTTTTCTAAAAGTTTTGGACTGCAGATATGAATATGCCATGCATGCCTTGAGAGTAAACCTGAAGATATAGTGGTTAGAACAGCATCAAGGAATGTGGCATGAAAGAGCTCAGTGCTTACTATGTGATAACAGAATATCAAAGTCTGGAGTCGTCATAATCCTGAGAAGCGCAGGAGTTAATGGCTAAGATAACACCGTGCATGCTATGTTTTTCTTCTGACGCTCAGTTGACGACACATGTATGGCAAACCGTGAACTGTGAATGTAAGAGTATCATTAGGGCATATGCCCTCAAAGAACCCCGTGCACGCCGCGTTCTTCACTATCTTTCGGAGGAGAGCTTTTCTAGACCGCACAAATAGATTTTAAGTTTCTGCGAAGAAAGTAGCATCCAGTCTTCTGGCCGAAGATATCACACTGAAAGACACACAGATTTAAAGATTTCATTTTCATTCGACAAACTCTCCGGTACTTCGGATCAAGCGACAAGCTTGCCTGGGTTTGGTGTTAAAGAAAAAACTAATCTCTTATTAGCTATTACGTTGTGCATTATTATGTTTCCAGGATTACCCCCATAAACTGGACTTTGTAGCATAGGAATGGAGTTGGAACGCCGGACACACGGTTCTAGAGCTGCACTGTGAGTATGGTTGGCAATTTATAAGTACGTCGATTTGGCAATACTCAAGTGTATGTTGGGACGTTCATTCGACAAATCTGCGATTGACCTCCCGTGTCACTTATAATAACATTTTCAGCACACTGCAAACAGAGCAAAAAGATCCTCTGCATAAGAGAAAGTCAAGCGAGTTTACTCACTTAAGACAGTCGCGGTACTAAAAGATCAGTTACAATTGGAATTCTCATGACTGAACTGGACAAATTAAATACGTTATGTTCCAATCCTTCATAACGAGTTCCGCGAGTCCTATCTATTTACTGTATATTTATTTAAGTACAAGTTGGAATCGGCGCTAGCCACTTGAATTATAGATTTTTAGCCCATTTTTCTTACCATTTACCATTTACCAATCATGCGTAACTTTACATACAATTTTTTGTCGTAAGTCCATCCAACCAACTTTTGTTGTCTTGACTAAAGTTGAGGTAGGGCAACAAAGACTTGCAAAAACTAAAAATGATACCTTACATCCTCATCTAATGTAAACAGTTGCCAACCGTCACATCTATCTACTCAAACTGAGTCTACACATTTGATTGCGATCGGTACCATCTTGGCCTGCTATGCGTCGGCATCTACGACTACCTCCAATTCTTCGCATTTCCTCCGCCACTTCCTTCCATGCGTAGGCATTGCACCTGTAATCAGAACTCGTGATTCATGATCATGTACATCTCATCTGAATACACAGGGATGTACATAGCCGCGCACCATAACTTTGTAAATTTCTCGTCGCTTGTCATATGAATGCACATGTGTGTGCATAACCACCTTGGCAGTCTACAACCACTCAGTTTCCACATATTCACACCAGGCAAGCAAGTAGTTTAAGCGTGGTTAAACTTCGAGGCCTTTCATTCTAAACTTTGTAGAGGTGCTGCATGCAAGAAACATTTCAACTGGCTGAAGATGAGAATAACAGTCATATTTAGGCCCGTCAAGCGGACACGAACTTTCATGTCCTGGTTGTCTTCAGGGTATTGTTATTTGTCGTCGACCTACAAGGTTGCAATTCAATAGAGACGGAGGGATCCGCAGCAGAGATTCTACGACTTTTAGAGCGTCAGCTGATGAGTCTTTCGGTCTGCTGTACTCTCCGGATAGTGAGCTTCTTATAGATCCACATTCTCGACTGGACGCGAGAGGAATTGGTGAATTGGAGATCAAACGACAAATGTACCCGATCCAACTACAAGGTCACGTCAGAAGATCGTTGAGACTGTTGTTTCATGCCTGGTAGAATCTAGGACGTTGCTTTACGAGGTCCCGGACAGTGGCCAGTCACATGAATGAATGCTAGTGACTCCTGAAAGCGGACAAATTATGGACAAAGAGGACGAGATAAGGAGCCCGCACAAGGCAAGAGAACGTTCAGGCGAGCTCACAGCTGGCCTCTGACTGGCTGCCTCAGTTTGGACCCGTGATGGTTGTTATTGCTGATTTTTAACAGATTGGGCTTCGGACAGGGTTAAAGATCGGAGAGTTAGAACGGGACGGGTATAGGAAGGCAGCAGGTGGCGGTTTCAATATGGTGTGCTGATACGAGGGGAGGGAGAGTGATGGTGACAGCGGACAGGTTATGGTAATCATGAGCTTCATGGAGAACCCCAAAGCTAACATGGAAGTCGTCACAGATTCGCCTGCTGGTACAGTCCTGCTATGCAGTTCGAGTGTTCCTGATGAGTGTCTGAGATACCGTACAGCTTCAGGTGCAATGTTGCCACTCTTGTCGTGCAATACTCTGACAACAGCCTTGAAAAACGCACATTTTTCAGAAGAGCGAGAGCGCAAGTATTTCGTCATGGGCGTCAGGTAATGGAGAACAATTGTACTCACACGGAGGAGTGTACCTGGCGCCATGGTGCCAAGTATCCTCAAAAGGCGAGGTGGAGACTCAGAGGCAAAGCTGAAGTTTCTATTACATATATAATATAAACATCCAACATCCGTTCCCCAACCACTTATGGAATATAGGTTTTTTTAATATATATAAAACTTGGGAAAGAAAGGCGAAGAGAGTCAAATTTGTTCAGTTTTTTGTTTGCTTGGAGACAAATTTCTTGTATTTTATGGAAGGGCAATTGGAGTCAAAGGTTCTCATATGTCAGGCGCAGGTTTTCACCTTTTCGACTATTGCGAAAAGGTGAAAAGAATTTCTGAATTTTTAAGGGAAATTTTTTGTCAGTTTTTTGCAAGCAGCAAGAAGCTTTTTAGAATTTATATGGTACAAGGAGACAGCTTACCTAGATTTCCGTGACGGAAGAAAAAATATTCTCAGGTTTGAAGAGTAGGCATTCGAATCTACTTCAACTTTTTCTAAACTTTTTACAACCTGCCAGAAGTATTTTAAAATTCAGTGTGAAGATGGCAAAGCTTTGGCATGTGGGCTACTTGGCTCGAAGTCGATACTTCTCTAACTTGATGAATTTGAGTTAGGCTTGCTTCACGAAATGCACAGCTACAAATACGTTGGAATAATATTCTCTACTTTCTGCTATCCCAACTTGGCATTCTCCTTCGTCATCCTCAAAACTGTTTCAGACTCACAATCCCTCACTTGTACCATCCGGTGCTTAGTCTTAATGAGTTACATGTATCTTTCTTCCGGTGAGCTCAAATCCCAAATGTCGTCGGTCCTAATCTCATCTAACTCACATACATTAAGTCCATTACGCACCTACCTCCGTTGCATTAGCTATACAAACATTGTAAAAATAATCTCCAACTTGGTACCTTTCGTCTTTAGTCTGGAGATCATTAGACCTCGGGCAAAATTGACCACATCACCATCCATCTTACTCTACTTTGACGATCTTGGCTCAGGTGAAGGTTCTCCCTGTCGAACTTGGTCTTGAGTTTGACTAATTGACATCAGACCCTCGTCTTTCGTCACGTCTAAGTTTTCAAATGACGTTGTCTAATATGACTAATGGTAAAAAGTCTGGACTTGGGGTTTCGATCTCCAATCTTTACTTGGAACACTAGATGCTCTCCAGCTTTCCAGTAAGATATTGCTTCTTGATGTGCCACCAAAGTATGTAACCTCCATGTTAATAAGCATTGTGACACTATATCAAACTCATATGTATCTGATTTGATTATTTTTTCTCGAGATAACAATGAATATATAAACAATGAACAACATATATAAAGTATTGGCCCTAGAAGATATATGTTAGTTCAAATAGAAATCTATGGTAACTTTGTAAGCGATGAGAAAGAAATCCATTGTATGTAGGAGATATCTCTGTCGAAGAATTCTGGGATCCATTCAGAAAGCTCTGACCTGCTTCCTTCTGAATCCATCCCGTTTAGCAAAAAATCAAGCACATGCACCTCGATCGATCGATCGCTGCATCTTTGAAGCACCTGCGGGATCAGATCGAGACGGAATGCTGTGCATACAACCGTGGTTGACAATGTGTATCGATTTGTGCTGACCACAGCTTGGCAGAAACAGTGAGCCTTCACGAGATAAGGCAAAAGAGGAAATAGCTTGAAGCAAACTAAGTAATTGAACAGGAGTCCTAGGCTCCGAGATGAAAGTCCAGGGCAGCTGCAGTGGAGCATATGCAGATTTGTCATAATTTTCTTCCCGTGGCCGGTTATCTTCTCTCGATATTATTAGACCCACAGGTTGTGCGACCGACTGCTGTTGAAGCTAGAATAAGTGCAAAGTTTAATGGTTCCATTTAATATGGCTGGACGTTAGAAGTTCTAGAAAGGCTTGTCAAACATCTGTATCGATCCCATTTCGCGTGCGAGAGGAACAAAACCTCGCTGAAAGAGGGATCCTGCTATAGCTCGTTCCGCATACCCATGTGCGATGGATTCATATGAAGATAGATCGTGAGATTGATTACGTGTCCCCATCTATCTTCATCAAATTTCTGCCCAAAATGCTCAGACTGAATGCGGTTGGCACTTTGGGCTGGAAATCTGGGCCTGCATCAGAAGACGAACGGACACAAGAGTGCCCATCAACAAGGAGCATAGCAGAATGATTGACGTGTATAGACGACGGCTGCTAGAAGACTTTGTGTGTCTCCGTCTGTGAGGTGGAGAGTCAGTCTTCAGCTCGAGAAGTTTGGAGCTACTAATTGGGCACTTCAGGGGCCCATGGATCTTCTACAGAGGTGGAAGCCTCATCATCATGAAGGCCACAATCCGTCCACATATGAAACGAGAAGCGTAATTGGGGTCGTAGGGGCAGTCATGTGGAACTTGCGGGATTTCCTCATCGACGCCTCCCCCGCTCAGCCTAGCACATGCACAGATTCGCCACTTCTTTTGCTGGTTGCTTGCACTCTGGGCGACTGAGGTGACCATCAGCAATCCATGCATCATTTCAGTTGCCCTGTTTCATTATCTATCACTCATAGATACTGAAATGAAACTACTGACATGCTGATAGACTATCAGCATGTCGCAAGGGGAGATCCGCTCTTTTATAACACAGAGATTGTATAACTCATTTTGCTTATCACGTGCTCGTGTTCAATAGCTGGGATTGTACACCATACGTCTGGGCTGCTTCATGTGGATCGTTGCACCTGACGTCAGCTTCATTAACTTCTTGTTTAATAAGCACATGCGTCTTCCAAGGAAAAATGGGGGGCACTCAAACCAGAACCTCTTGAATCGAGCTCACAGCTGAGTGCAACGAATCTCCGTATTTCAATGTTGTTATATCATTTCAGTGGACGAAAGGATGTGGAAAACATTGTGTATGTACTAAGGCTGCATGCTCACAACGTCGCGCCCTCATGCGATGGAGCGTGATTACCAAAGTAGGACGGGATTAGCATTCTACGGAACTTGTGGAAGATTTTACGGCCATGGGCAATTGTAAGTGTTACTTTTCGGGTTTGGAACAACAATACAAGTTCAAGCATACGTTTATGCTTCTCTCCCAGACTGGCTTGTGCATCATCCGACACTCATTCATCCACTGCACTAATGATAAACCAGACTGAATCTTTTCTCTGTATTTTTACTGGGGCATGATCAGATGTGTGGGGCATCGGTGTTAGTTCTAGCCAAATAAAGTCTCAAGAAACCCCTCCTCCGATCTCATCGAGAAATGTCTACGGAATCTGCAACAAGAAGCCCAACCACATTTCTCAATGCTGTGACGGAACATAAACGGCAAGCAAAATTTTGTAATATTTGAGAGGAAATGCATTCTTTCTTTTAGCTGGTGAACAACATTTTGTACAACGCCCAAGCTTTTGTTCAGGCATACGAACTGGAATGAAGCCGAATCAGAGAGCCCCGGCAGCAAAAATCAGAAATAAGATGTGAGAGAAAATGTTTTCCCAAGAACGGGAGGAGAGATCCAACGATGCTGATGATGAAATTAAGTTCCGACACGACTCTCGAAGAGCATTCCAGTGCGCCTGTGATATTCATGAGCAGACCATGTTTATGAGCAGACCATCGGTGGCTTCAACTCCTTTGAAGGAAGTGGGGTTCGATGAGTACTCACAAAGACTTGATTATCCATTACGCTTGTATAAAAAAACATTATTTGTAGATTTCGTTTCCAGGAAGGAGACCTAAAGTCTCATATTTTCACGACTTTCAAAAGTTGAAGAGCCGAATTGACTCTTGGAGTGTCGCAATATGAGATAACGAACAGAAAGTTTAATTCTCGATCATTTAGAACTGATTACAAAGATTATCACATTACTTGTTATCCTCAGATGATTTTGATAAGTTAATTTAACATTGTTGGATAAAATTATAATCGAAATCTATTAATCTTTTTTACTTTAACTAATTTTGTGATATTGTTTGAGATTATTTATTTATTCTACTTCTTGAAAAAAATTTATTTAAAGATTTACATTCTCTTATCTAACAAGAATAAAAGAAAATTGGATAAATGGTAATAGACCAAGCCCGGGGGACCCAAAGGGTCAAAAGGCTGAAAAACACGAGATATAACATCCAATAATGTAGATTTCTTGAGAATACAAAGAAAGTTAAATATTACAGATTAGGATATATGGTAACTTGTAATATGATTGTCACTAGGAATGATTATCTTTTAACATGCCTAAATAATGAAATAGTATGAGACATTTTTTTTACTCCAATACTTACAATGACAAATCTTAGTCCACTTCTAAAATTCAATTAAATGTCTGATAAAAGATTCATCATTCTAAATTTTACGATATGGCACAAAAAGATATTTAATAGAGATGTGATAGAATTTTTGAAGGGAAAAAATTGAAAAATAGGTCATGAGGTTTAAAAAACTATGAGAAAAAATAAATATCACCTAAAATATTTACAATGATATATTCAAATTGGATTGGTAGAACTTCAATTATGTATGTATTGATTCAATTAACCTTGAAGATTTGAGACTAAGGATGATGATGGCAATGTATTGATTATATAAAGTCAAGAATCTTGTTCTTATAAAGAAACCAAAACTTCTAGCGTAAGTATTCTATGAGATGGGACTCAATTTCCAATTGATAACAAGATATGAAAACTAATGAAGTTTCAAAAGATTCAACCTTTGAATAATATTTTGTACAAGTACAAGTTTTAAGATAGTTCAACTAAGAGTAAACTACTTGATGGTACCCCTAAAGAAGATTGAAAATTCAATCTTCTGAAGGGACCCAGTGGGTTTCATTTTACCCTATGATCCCCATTCAACGGCCATGCAGCCCACCGTGAGCCATATTCCAATAAAGTGCTTATAAACCAATAATGTGAAGGGTGTTTGCCACTGTCGGGTCAGAGTGTTTTCAGGACTCGTTTGCAGCCATGTCTGAGAAAGCGACGGGCACCATGAGTCTGAAGTACTCCCGATGTGGTCTTGCCATGACTTCATCTTCCTACCCGAAATAACCCCATATTATGGACTGCAGGGCTATGGATCTTATCAAGTAATTCACTCTTCAAATAATGACAGAAAAATCTTTTAAAAACCAGATTGAAGAAGAAAAAGATGTGAAGTACAATAAAATTTATCATTTACAACAAAATATGATAGTTATGTGCATTTGTTGTGATCTAGTTATGAATTAATAGAATGTAGTTACATCATTTAATATTTCTTTGGACGAAATATATTTCATGATCTAATCAAGTGGCTTTGATAAAAAATCAAGTAAATTAATTTTGTAGATTTTTTAAATCATTATAGGGATTGAAATAAACTTTCAAAAACTACATAGTCTTGTTTGATGAATTTTTAAAAGAAAAATGATATTCATGGAGTGTGATTTGATTAAAACTTAATTCATATATTGTAAACTTATATTAGTGTTACTCTAATTAATATTAAGAAACTAGTATGAAGCTATGTAAGAAATTTGATTATAGATCTCAAATGACACAAGTTTAGATGTAGATTTTGTTTTTCATGAGATTTATATAGCCTCCGTTGAGATAAATCAAATTTTTTTTAATAACTCTCCTGCATTGTTACACATGTATGAAGTCTAATTTCTTCTCAAAATTAAAGTGCTATAAATCTAAAAAATTAGGTCATAAATTTCATCATTTGAAATTAAAAAACCTGCAAATTATCACAAGGTGTTCCCAGAATAAAAACCTCATAAAAAGAGTGTTAATGTAAAATTTATATCATGAAGAACAACTTAAATTATCATTGAATGATAATTTAAGTGGTAATGAAATTTTAGATTCTATGCAAAACTCATACATTATTCGATAAATTTGATAAACTCAATGTTGAATCATCTCTTTCTTAAGAGATGATTCATGTCTAAATTTCCTTGAAGCTTTGAAGTCTAAATTTCGTTTTGAGATGAATCATTTGCATCAAAAAATATTCCTCCTCGTCATTGGGTTGTTATATTTAGGAGACTAGCTAATAAATTCCATGTATGTCATGAGATTAGATGTTTAGAGAATGAATATTTCAACTGATCTAAGTTATAAGTGATGTAAGATGTGTCTTACGAAATATAATCTATCTTAATGTCTACATTAAATAGCCTACAAACAAGATTAACATTTTCTTTATTTGTTGTTTATTTAAGTATATTGTATATGTTAAAATTTTGATTTATATCATAATTTGGAATTTTTTTTCTTTTGGACAAATGTGAAATTTTTTATTCATGTAATCAAATTGATCTATTATAGTTAGTTTATCTCTTCAAATTTTATTGAACTTTTTAGTTATTGCCATTGATATCACTGTATTCAACTTAGTAAATAATATTCCCTTTGCCAACTTTATCCTTATTCTTAATATATATATATATATATAAAGAAGATCTTAGTTTTTTTCTTGTAAATTGTCATTCAATAATATGTGATTTACAGTCACATGACATAAAAAACATAACATTTCTTACAACACAAAGAAGAGTTATACAATTACTTCATACTTCAAATATGCATTACACTGAATTGTGTGTGTGGAATTGTCATCAGAGTTTTATTGAAGCATTCATTTCAAAGTACTAATATAAAATTAACAACGAATGTTGTTTACGTGTTGAGGTACAATAGTTAATGAGAAAGTAAAAGATACTAGATTTTCCCATAGATAACACATAAGTTACTTCAGGTATATACATTAAGTTGTATTCAACCACCAATAACTACCGGCAGTTTATGTCTCAAGTTAGGGCGTAAAGCTCAAGTTTGAGCCTTTACCTCCTGGGTATATTCCAAATTTAATTGCAAAAGTACATATATCAAGAGACATCAAGCTAGTGATCATTGTGTCGCAGTGTCGGATTGCTAATTTATTAGCTCTCTGGTTAAATTTCGAATTTCCTCTCAATTGAGAGTCGGGAATGCTTTCTAGAGGTTTTTCATCTAGACATTACCTAGTTGAGGGTAACACTAGTAGTAGCAAGCTACACCAGAAGAGGGCATGAGCGATAAATCTTGTATACATCCCATTCAATTGCTGCGACATAATGTCGAAACATTGAGACAAAATTAAGTGTTAGTTCTAACATGTGATACACAGTAGATTGATGGCCATATATATGATTAATGCGGAAAGCATAATGAAAAACGATAAATATAGGTGACAATCAATCCAGCAACAAATAGATCACCGATCCTATTGCTATCAAGTTCCAGGTATACACAAGCATCTGGATGAGTTCATCATTAATGTGAAGAGTTTCTTCAAAGTACTGAGCATGAGGAAATAACAAAAACAAGTTGAAAAGTTACCCTCTCCGACTTTACAGTTTTCAAGTAATGAATTTCTCACTTAAAATTCAATGGCATTTCGAGACTGTCATGGTCTCTGTTAGACCGGTACTAATTTACACAGTACGCCAACCGGTTTGCCACAGGCCTTCAGCAAGACCCTTGCCGAGACAAGAATTTCCTGATATACATAAGGGACTAGACTTGTAATTCTTGAGACACAACAGGATTAACTGTTGATTGCCCCTCCCTGAACTCTTCGTCCTAGTCTGTTCTTTGCAGTATCCAGGATGATCCAGTCCACCTATGTTCAATGCACCCAAGCTACAGTAGAAGTAGCAGTAAAGTTTGACAGACTCATAGGTCTCAACTGCAAGATCTGGAATGCAAGGCCTCCATCGAATACACCGACTGAGTCCACCTTCACAATCTAAGTACATTGGAGAGACAACCATATCAGGTACATGGAGGTGTCTTCCATCCACTACCTACAGGGCCTACGTCTTGGATGATCTCTCTATGGGCTGACCAAACCAGCTTAATGGCCTCCGGTGTACCAATACCTGCTCCTCGTGGATCGCCACATGGACCAAACCTAGAGCACAGTTACGAACATTGTTCTAAGCCTGACTGATGCAATTCGAATGATTGTAAAAAGCAGTTGGTTGTAACGTAAATTTGTCTAGGAATGAAAAAAAGGATCTAGCCTACAAAGAATAACAACCTCCCTCAATGCTCCCAACTTTTGTGGGGGCAAACAACTGTCAATTGGAGGATATTCGTGTAATGTAGGAAAATATCAATATGCACTATAGTAACTCGTTACAGAAATATGTAAATACCAGTGGTTTTGTGGAGCCCCAGTTGTTCGTGCCCGGATACCTGCGTACGTCGTTCCGTTCACTGTATTTCCTAAGACTTCCTGTGAGATTGCCCGCACTCGTTCGTCATTGATCAATAACGATTAAGTTACAACATAACATAGAAGATGTTCACTAAGAGTCTTGTAAAGATACTCCGAGTGAAACTTCGTGCATTTGGTGTCATGGCTTCATGTTATTATCAAGGAAAAGCATTAGAATGACCACAACTATGAACGGGTCAAGATTCAGCAGATGCAATCGTACTACGAAACCAGAGAGCATTGTACCTGAAGGAAGTGGACATCGTTGGAAACCACTGCTGCTGTCAAATGGGCATGCATCTTCTCACATGCCTCCAAAACAAGATGCAACTCAGCAGTCTTGTACTCCGTTATTACCTGCCTTGATTTGTAAACACGTCGTTTCAATGCAATCCCATTAGGAGCAGCTTTGAGAAAAATTGAACTACACTCTCAGACTCAGCAACCGTGGCAAGCAATCTGTTGCACAAACATGGGGAAAACATCTTCTCCGCTATAAACCTGAACATTCTCTTCTCAGAACATTCAGGCGTCTCTCTTGCCCTCATGATGATACTCTTCGTTAATCAAGCACTGCATACAAATACACAATAAGTGATCCCAGCCGTTCAAGCTTAAGTATTTTCAAAGAACGTAATATCCACACATCGCAAAGGAAGAAAAGACTTTGCACACCTGAAATGGGCCGAAAATTTCCGTAGTTACAAGATCAAAATTTTTAGCCTTGAGAATTTCTTTGAGAGGAACATAGACAGCAGTGGGTTCCACGGCTCCATATATTTCAGGGATAGTGTGGTTCGACAAAGGCTTCCCCCCAAACGCTATCTTTGATCCAGGAATTTTCAAAAGGCTTTCTATGTGATCCAAAATGCGCTTCGTCGTAACCTGCGATTGTTTTCAGATGACCAGGTATTTCCATATTAGAACTGAATATATATACCTCTAAAATTTCACAGAGTGGTCCAGACACGAGACCATGAGCCCAAGACTCCTTATATACACGGTGATACGATGTGACCTGAGCTGATTCATTGTGTGTTTCAACTGCTCTCTTGGGTATCGTTCCCGCTTACTATACGCTTAGAAATTAGAGGAATTCAAAAAGGCTGCACTATGCTTGAAAAGACTTGCCGTAAGAACCGGGCCGACGGTCAAGTCTTCGAGTTTCCTTCTTTTAGCCAAAGTCTTCAACTTGTCAACAACTCCTGCTTTTGTCCAGTTCTGCGATAGATAAGCCGGAAAAGAAACCATAGAATATGAGATACAAAAATTGTAGGCACATGATAGCTTTCTGTAAGCACTTATCCGATAAAATTCACTCAAAACCTATGCGAGAAGGATTTCTGCTTTGTCCTCATCCACCCATTTCAAGAAGGTTCATGTCTCTACTGAAAGAAGGAAAATTGGATGGCTCAATATCAGTTCCTACTATATTTACCTCATGCATGAACAAAATCGACTGAGCAGAGCACTTTTGTCCACTACACGCATACGCATCTTGATCACAAACCCAGGATACATAATCCACCTATGACAATTATCAAAAGAAAACAATTGGTCCATTAAACATCATTACTTCATGACTGTATTTTCCGGGAAAAAACTCTGAACTTGGAACGAGGTCGATACTAAACACGTTGAAGGCAATATCAAACTTCTGAAATATTCATCAAGCTGTAAGAAAAGAAGATAACTTTATCGAGAGAAAGCAAGCCGAAGTGGTTATCACGTCATAAAAAGCTTGAGAACGACGCAGGTCAACCATATTTTGCATATAGATAATTTAAGCAGTTTAAGAAGCTACTTGACAGAAATCACTCGAGAGTTTAGGAGGATACCTTGTAAGCCAAATAAGACAGAGGATAACATAAGACAGGGCAAGTGTGATAAAGTGACCAACCTGCTGAACATCAGGACCCAAAATTTTCCAGTCAAATCCAGCGTCTTCGAGCTTGATTCGCCCTTTCAAATCCCCCGCCAACTTCTCTGCTACTCTTGAGCTTCCAGTAAACAATGTCATTTTTGGTTCTGCCTAGTAAAAGTTGAAGTAACACGAATGAGTCAACATATGTATAGTTCACAATTTCAGGTCACCCATTTGTCTTCATAAGGCAACATCAATACTAGAAAGAGGCTATTAATCGCATTATAGTCTAAGTAATCCAGCATTTGGAACAACGTAAACGAGTAAGTGTGCACTGACGACTAAATCATACTACTTATCCAGCATTAGTCATGCAACTCTTTGAAAGCAGCAAAATCTAAGCAAGCCATTCACGGTACCAATTACACGTAGTGAGTTGTTTACAAAACTTGCTAAGAAAGGCAGTTTAGTACATAACAAGCTTTAACATCCACAAAGAGAGTCATTTGCTCAAAAAGCGAAGTAGGCCATTTTATGTGGCGTCAGAAAGGTAGGAAGGCAGGCCTGCAAACAAAATCCCAGCGTTGGAGCTTGAGTAATAACTGTAGTCGTTGTTCACATATTCTTGGGCGGAATCAAAACAATAGCTGCAATTAACCATTGATTGCGGAAATAACAGTGCTTTTGTTCCATAGTGGAGACCACACAATTGGAGCACACCTCTTTGATTTGACAGATATGGTAATTTTATGTCGTTTCGTAGATTCACAGAGAGTTAAACACTTCAGTTGAAGAAGCTGATGATGGATGGGAACATTGTTGGCTAGTTAGTATACAGAATTTCACTGATAAGCGAAACGTTTCTCACCTCGACCAAAACGTGGTTCATTACTGGCCCATCGGAGTTGAGAAAGTCCACATCTTCCAGGGGCATGCCACAGTCATGAAGCAGTCTCAACATCTGCTCCATTACAATGCTAACCTGACAATCACACAAAAGATAAACTGTATCGCTTAGTTACAAAGACGATCTTAGTGTGACACGTTCTCCGCACCCACTTACTCAAAAACGTCAAACATGCGAAATGTAAACAGCTCATTTTTCAATAATGAATCGGTCAGAACCTTGCTATCCACTTTCAGCAGTGGTTTGTTGCCCATATAAAGGGCTCCCATAAGTTGCAAAGCAGGAATTTCCAGGGGGAAGTTGAATGGGGTGATTATGGTAACCTGGACTTTGCATAGAGACAGTATGTGATTAGAACTCTTCAAAGTCAAACTCGTTCACACAACACGAAAATTTGAATAATTTTCCTCTCATCTTCAAAAGTATGTTGATATGTCTAAAGTTGATGTTAGGATACTAAAAGAAAACCTTACGAATTCACAAACATAATGTTTGAAACATATCAAGCAAACTAGGGTAGCAAGACTACTTACAGGGCCGTAAGGCCAACGAAGCCCAATGCTTTGCTGACCTAAGTGATTACCAGGGACAGTGAAAGAACGAGCCAAAAAGCGGACCTGCGCAGCGTCATCCAATTTCTCGTGAGCTGTTCGGCTACAAGGGTGCAACTTTAAACTAAAGCTTTAGTTTTGATGGATGATCTGGTGCATCACATTCTTCTTGATACATCGTATTGACCATTATATTTATACCGGTCAGATAATTGTCAGATGCGAAAGAAGCATTACCTGGTCTCCTGAGAAGTTTTCAAAAAACTTTTGAGTCACCATCACCTCCCCTTCGGCTTGAGCATAACTCTTCGGCGACACTCGCTGGATAAGCCTTGCAAAATAATCTGCAAGCTAATTACAAGCGATGAAGTCTCTGTAAGTTCAAAAGCAAATTTGTTTCTGAGGGCTGGGGCATCAGTGGGTCTACGACCGGCAAGTATCGCCCCGTGATAACACATTTACTGTACATGGCTAGCAGTGGTGCCTTGATGCTCACAATGTTCCAGGAAAGTTCCTGGCCTACGCAAGCTGTATCAAATTAGTCCATACCTCATGCAACTACAATAAGCATTCAGAATGTTCTAATTACATACCCAACTCCTCCGTGCTAGCAGTGCTTTTGTACTCTTCGTTCTGTACATGATGTTGCATAACTTCGGCTTGCTTTAAATTGCTAAATTGCTTTACATCCATTCATGTTACGCAAAGCTTACATTTCTATTATATCTGGCTTCCGATTTCCTTGTGATATGTCCATTACCCATGCTCTACTCTTTTTTTAACGAAAGGAATGTAGCAGATGTCTTTTCCAGCTACAAAGCCCGTCTAACATCTTCCGAGGCTAATCTCTGTTTTAAATTGGTGATCCGAATTTCGACCTTTCGTAATGGCATACAAATTAAGCGCTTCTAAGCCATATGTATTTCAACAAGCACTACTATTGTTCCTTGTCTTTCAGTGACATTTACCTTCGGGTGTCTCAAAGCATTAGCAACCTTGGCAGACACATCCCCGTACAATAAGTACCTGCAAATAGCAACAATATCCAACTTTCATGCGCGAAAATCAAAAGAAATGTGGTTATATCATGTGAGAGGAATGTGTCTTGTTGCGGTACTGCAAGTACACGTTTGAAGTCAGATCCAAATTGGACAACCAAATATCCTACATCTATGATGAGGGGCCTCGAAGACTTGAAGCCACACCTTTCCAGATTTTTTAGCGGATTGTGAAGACCCGATTTGGGGCATGACTGCAAACTCGCAATAAAAGGCTGCAATGAAGAGAGGAGACTTTAGGACATTGCCGAAAACGTACAGAGTACAATAGAAAGCTCAATACACTCTCCAACCAAATACGCATTTCCGAGAGCAAGAGCCGAGATGCTTACTATCATTTATAGTTGCCTCTTGGACCTCAAGAACGTAAAGATGATATTAAGAAGAGGTTTTAATATGTCAGACTCCTATAAATCATCTCAAACATGATTTCTAAGCAACGAAAGCTTTTCAAACGAGAGTGACTGGGCGTACTTATAGCTTCTGATGGAAAACAGTCTACTTTATGTATGTAAAGGTATGTAAGTCAAATCTCAAACTTATCCCTGGAAGTCGATGAGCTTACATACCTGCACTTCCGACTGCGAGGTGTTTGGCACTTTGATGAAATTCTGACCATTAAGTGGATCCACAAGTGTATCGAATTTGGACGACCCACTCCACTTGCCTCCAACTGTTACATAGAGTTATGCATAACTGACTTCAATCTTTTTGTAAGGTGTTTCATTCGAACTATAAGAATACAGACTGTTCCCTATCCAAACAGACAAATTAGAACATAATCCAACGCACGAATTTAACACTTGAACAAAACCTCCAGAGAGCTGGAGCGTTTGCGGAGCAAGACATACTATGACATGATAGAGTCAGTTGGATCGAGCAACTCACCGAGATTCTTCACATCAGCTGGATGTTGACCCGAGATTTCGTTTGGATGAACGGAAGCAAAAGCGAGGGATGCATAATTCCTGAGATTTGAAATTACACAAAGCACGATCGTTGGAAATTCTGACAGGAAAAAAAAAAGCGCTTTGCAGCTCCAAGCAGTATAAAATCCTCGCCCACCTGCTGCTTAGACGTCGGGAAGTGCGGCAAAGTAACGTGGAGAGCCCACGGATTTGCATTGTGGAATTTATAATCAACGCTCAAAGTTAGACCAGCATCTGCAGAACCGCCTGAAATATACCGGCTGTCATCAAACTTGCAGAGAATTTAGAGCGAGACTTTAAATACCAATCACCTACAATATATCTCATGATTCCCTTCAAGTTTCAAAACAGCCTTTTCTCTGGTCCGGAGTCACACCTCGACCTTCAGACTCAGATGCAAGCAGCAGCAATCCACAAATCATCAGAACACATAACGACCTTTTCAGCAGAGTTGTGAATTACCGTGCAGACATGCACAGAAATCTCTAAAGGCAGCCCCAAGAAAAATAGAAGACAATCACAACCATCAAGTTTCACCTCCTTTGAGAATCGAACCAGAAACAATCCGAGAGCCCAACAAAGTCAGCTCACTCACTTCTTTGACAGTCCGTCCAATCAATCGCTCGCTCTGTCCCAGATCGAGCTCCGGATCCGGACGACAAAGATCGGGACCGACCAAACCACGGCAACGGGCAGAGCTTCTTCTTGAGCCTTTGGCGATTGCACAGTTGTCAGATTCGCTTCGATCCAGACCGAATTCGAAGACATGGACGTCACGCACATCGCGGCCTCCGCGCTTCTCCTCCAGTCCGAATCAGCAGCGGACGCCGCGACAAACTCCTCAGGCTTCAGCGTACAGTACTCTGTCCGTCCAGAATCATTATTTGTCCTCATAAAACCTTTGAGTTCTTTGAAGCCTACGGGAGTTCAGAATTTTCCCATGGTGTTTGCTGGGTTTTTGGTTGTGGTTCGCAGTACATTTGGAATCTTGCTTCCGAGTACCATGTTGCCAAAGATTTCAGCACAAACATGCCATTGATGTCCATGATTGTAACTTGCCAGACATTCACGATACGCGAAGTTTCAACGAAACATTATTATTATATGCAATCTCCCTCCATTGAATGAATATGTAACTATTTGCTTCAAGATTTTTATTCACATGTGGTAGTCACGTCCCTTGGAATATGAGTTGAATATTCAACATTCTTGTTCAAATTCTCACAATACTCAATTAAACTATGATATAAGTGTATTATTGCATGTCAGAACTTAATAATATAAAATGTACTTCAGCTGGATTTGCATTATGAACATTTGGTGGATTGGAAACATTAACAAAAGTTTACTGTAGACCAGATATTTTTTTGTACTTCCTATGATCATGATTTACAAATTATTTCAACATTGTTTATATGAAACATGTACATATCTTTAAAATTATACATCACATACACTAGAAATTTGGATTTCTTACAAGGGATTCATATAGATTTGTCATTTACAAATGTTTGAAAATATATTTTTGACTAAAAGAAATATTGAATTCAATGTATATATTTTTTATTTTAGAAAAATATTTCATTGAAAAACCATGAAAAAAAAATCCAATGTTAAACATATTTTATTTATTTTTAATAAATTCAGAAATGAAATTTCTTGATTAGTAAAAAACAGAAAACAAAATTCTTCAATTGACACAATAAAAAAGAAAATTTAAATTGATCAAAACTATGTTTGACATTTGAATGAAAAAATTTTAGTCAAGAGCTCTTAAAGAGCTTTAAAACCATAAATTTAAATTTAGATTTCATTTATCTATAGAAAAAAATTTAGATTTAAATAACAGCTTATAACATGATATTAAAAAAATAAAATTTTATGGATCCGTTCTAAATCAAAGTGACTGAACTATAGCATTTGAAAACGTTGCGCATGTTTATAATCGTTCTATTTACGTTTTTTTTGTTTTTCATACATTTCGCATACATTTCAAACATGCGATGTTGAGTATTGACGAGTCAATTGGGATTGAATGTCAAACGCAGACCAGAAGAAATGATGCCAATGGAAACATTTTAGTGATCTCTTCAACGCTGAAAATTCCAAAACCAAGAGAATGAACTGCATTCATTGCAATTAGACCGTTTACGCAAACAACCATAACATGAAGACTGATGTATCTAATCACACTTGTCTTCTCTAGTTCGTATTGGCCATTTTAAATCCATCACAGCCATCTCTTCAATCCCCATGGGGTCGGATCTTCCTCGCAACAATGGCCTTCAGCAACAAAGCTAGTTCCTCTTTATCGGCTAAGAAGCGCTTCTTGAAAGATTTGAGAGTGAAGGTACATCTTGGATTCACTGTAGTGGGACAAAAAAACAATTGATCGAGCTTTGACTAATGCGATGAACAAAACGGGGATTCATTTTCACATGTTGGATCCACAAGTATGACAATAATTCTTTAAACTCTTAAACCCATTGTGTACTACGTTTTCCTTATTGCCATCGGTACATATTTGCTATCTAAAAAGTATATAGACCAGCAAATTGTGATGTGTAGACATCTTGCACAAGTCATCATTGGAATGGACGGTGCCACCAACGTGATGTCGCGTAGCATGTCTAACATCATTGCATATTAACATCGTTCATGGTTCGTTGAGTGCCTAAAAGCTAGTATGAAGAAGAAGACATCGAAAGAATTGCGGGTCAAGGTTGTCGCCTCCATATAATGTCTACACACATTAATTGGGAAAAAAGTTGTGACAGCATTCATATCGGACTCTTGCAATGTGATGTGTCTACTTTGGAAATTGCTTCTATCTCATAATTATGTGGATTATGTGTATGAATGTGAGGCGCATCCACTGAAAAATTTCTACAAAGACATTATCAATATGACTTTCCTCAAGACAATATTCAAAGAGACTCTTGTTGTTTTGAAGTCTATCAAGAATCATAGCTTGTTCAACAAGTGCTTTAGCATCATGTGCACCGAGATTGTCGATAAATCATACAATATGCTACTTCATTTGGCGTCACGATGATCCAGTGTGAATTATATATTCTCTTGTCTCAAGATAGTCAAACGTCTGATTATCACATTGTCGTTGACCATCAAAAACAATAAAGAGAGGCGTGGCATTGATGAGAGATATCAATTCAAGTGTGAATTTAAGTGGATCATTACTAACTTACAATTTTGGCGTGACGTCAACTCTACAATTTACCTCTTCAATCCAATCTGCAAATGTATTGGCATCATAGAGAGTGATTTGTCTACAATGGCAACGGTCTACGCATGTTTCATCTTAATCTTTGTCCATATTCAGTTCAATCTGCATGGCGACTTGAAACCTCCGGGCTCACTCTCACCTAGGTTTATTTCATTTGACATTGCGCTAGTTCATCATGGTTCTAGAAGATTAGTAATATCACTCATGTCCATGTCCCAAACACACTCTCACACAATTCTTCAATATATCACTCCAAATCACATACACATCGACACTTTAAGATACTAAAAATCATCACTCTTTCATATATGAAACAAGACTATACACATGAAATCTTCAAACTTCCTTGAAAGTATCTTCTCTACCTCTCTATATATATTACTTAAGAATTTACCATAGAAATAAATGATAATTTTTATCTAATTTACTTTTAAAAGAATGAACTATAGTAAGTTTGATTAATTATCAATACGTGGCAACATGTCATTTGTGACTTTCCAACTTCTAGAATTTCTATTTACTATTAAGTCAACTTTAGATTTAATCTAACTAATGAAGTCACCATTACTTAGTCAAACCAATCAAAACTAAATATGAAATCAAAAGTCTTTTCTTTTAAAATCTAGATTTTTGTACAAGACAATATAGAAGTTCTCACTTAAATCTTCTAGGAGTTATCTAATTATGACATCAAGTATAGACATTATAGCTGAATATAATTATAACTTGATAAATTTAGATATAACTAACTAGACTTAATCATTACTAAGCTAACCATGATTAACTCATTGGCTATTTGTAGTTCTATTTCACACATACAACATCCGATGTTACTTATATCCACGGATCAAGATTTCACTACGCGCTTAGAGTGAAAGAATCTGATCTTTGATGGAATAGCTTCAACTTGTCGTGGTTGACTAGATCGAAGTGACGTCCTCATAACTCCTTGATATCATAAGTATGGTTTATCCACATCTTCTCAACTATGAAAGATCCAAAATATTTAGTAAGAAACTTTTTTCTAGCTTTGTTGTATCTAATTGCATCAAATAACATCACACAATCATCTTCCTTGAATGGTTTCAAGTTTTGATTTCCATTTCGCTTGTCGTGATATTTTTTTTCTAACTCTTGAGCCCACTCTACTCGTAACATGATTAGAGCTCGAGCTTCCTCCAACTCCATCAATTGTTGTTGGATCTGATGGCTTCTTCTCCATTTGTTTTCTTCAAACTTTGTTGGATCGTGATGAAAGTAGTCAAATTGAATTGTATATGAAATTTTGATTCAACTCTATACACGATCCGAAGAGGTAAATATCTGGTAGATGTTTTCCATGTCGTCCGATATTGCCACAAGATAGCATGCAACCTCTTGTTCCAGTTTTGTTTGCTCTCGTCCATGTCTGCATCGTTGGCAAAATTATACAAAGAGTGTAGTTGGTCTGCTCCGCTAGCCCATTAGCATTGAGTTTGTAAGAAATGGTCATTCGAGACTTCATGGGAAAATGACCTAACATTTCTTGAAACATAATTCTCACAAACTCTACTCCTTTATCTAACATCAATTCCAAGGCACAACCAAACCTAATAATGATTCTCTCATACAAAAACTTACCAACCTACTTCTCATTAGTAGATTTAAGTGATCTTGACTCTATCCAATTGGTAAGATAATCTATAACTATCACAGTGAATTTATTTTCCCGAGGAGTAAGATCCAAAAGATCTAACATTGGAATTGAAATCAAAAGAGTGATTTTCATGGATTTTTTAGCAAAAGCTTGACACACATCATAACTCCTGCAAAATTTTACACAATCTTTGAAAATATTTTTCCAATAATAACCAACATCAAAGATCTTGAAAACGATTAACTTCCTCACAAAATGTCTTTCACACACTACACCTTTGTGAAACTCCTTCATGAGTTGCAATGTTTCTTCTCTTCCAACCACGTTTCGTATAAGATCGTCAGCTCTTTGATGAAATAGCACTTTCTTCATGATCATATACGGTTGACATTTCTTTACCAATACATTACTATCTCTCGAATGCATACATTGAGAAAACTCTCCTTAAACGATGAACTCTCAATTTTCTTTGTATTCCTCTAGCTTTGACGTCACCGTGTCCATGAGCAACAAATCTTCGTGTGGAAAAGTGTCATTCACCGATTGATCTACTCCCTTATCGAATCCGCATTAGCATGCTTCTTTCCAGATCAATTCTCATTAATATAATCAAACTACGCTAGTGGTAGTTTACATCTAGCTATCTTACCCTTAGCATTAGGCTTGTTGAAAATATATTTCAATGCCTTATGATTAGTCAGTAATACCAATTAACCTTAATTCTTAAGTGAAAAAATTACAGCTAAAGCATCTCTTTTGGTCACTCAATAATTTTTTTTTGCTTGTATCATCTGTCTACTAGCATAGATAATTAGATGATCATGCTTATCATCATCATATTGACTCAAGATGCATCATACAGCAAATTTAATGCATCCGTATAAAGAAGTAAAGATCTACCCCAATCAAGCTTTGCCAAAATTGGGGATGTCATCAATACCTTTTTGAGTGCTTCAAACTCCAACTTTGCCTTTT